TTGGATGACCGCCTTACTGGGGTCATTTGACCCCAGTACTCTTTCCTGCCATGGCAGGGGGTCGGACTAGATATCTGCTCAGGTCCCTTCCGACCCTAGAAACTATGAAACATCTAAACAGAGAGAGGATTTTCCTTATGAGATGGAGATCTCACTCTGGTCCTTCTAGGGGTTTGATCCTGTTGTGAAGCTCATGGACAAAGTGACAAACACCTTAGATAGCTTGGAAGGTCAAAGAAGTTCTGCCACATTACCTGAAAAGATCACTGTCATTCTGCCTGGAACCCACTTCCAGCAGATGATCCTCCTTTAATGTCTTCTTTAACAGTTCGTAAAATATAGTGTTGCTCACAGTGGCAATAATTTCTAATAGGATCAGTTTGAGCAATTAGGAGGTGTGGGTTGGAGATGGGTGGGAAGCAAGCCACTTACCTTCTCATGCAGAGGTTGCTGCTGCATAAGTACAAGCTCTCCAGATATGAGTGGGAGCTGTTAACACAAGCTCCCTGGCACTGCCATTTTGGCATCCTCTAGGATTTTGAAAAGGGGGTGCAAGTGGTATGGGGCATCATCACACATAATATGGTACACATTTTTCTCCACGTCCAGAAAAACTGGGGACCAGTACTATATTATTCAGTTTAAGATTAAAGCAAAAACTTTACACACCTTTATTGGAATGTGTTCTAACTTGCTTATGTATTAAGTTTAAAAAACAACACCCCCACCAAACTAGGAAAAAAATAGTCTAAAGGTGGTGTTTTGGTAGTCCTGCAGTCATTTATATTTAAATCTACATCTCATTCATAATTGTAAAACAAAATCTAGCCTTCTTGAGCATCTTGACAGTGCATCTAATACTTCCCTGTCAGTCATTCACACAGCTAAATTAATGTTTCCTTGAGTTAATAATACCACCCCTGAGTAAGGTTTTGAGCTAGAACTGAAAACAGTCTTTGGGGCTGAGAAGTAGAAGAGAGAGATTACCAGAAATAGCAAACAGACAGCAAAATTGCAGAAGAAAGATTCCATTGATTTAATGGAACATCAAGACCATTAAAAAGGAGAGAGGGCCATTAACACCTGTGGAGTGAAGAGAGAGTAGCAGGAATCGGGCACATTTATGAGCCATGAAATCCATTGATTCCCATACTGTTGCCTGAATAGAAATGCTGCATCTCCTGGGTAATTGGTTTTAAAATGTGAGTGGAGCAGGAATCCAAAAGGGATACAACTGCACCACAGCTCTTCCCCCTGGATCCACCGCTGCTCATATTGCTAGTACCCCATTTCTCTCACTTTGCCACCCAAGTTGCCTTGCTGCATACAGGTCAAATATGTCCCTTAATCCCACTAAACCAACCTGAAGGGTATCTTACATTTTTCTTTCTTTCTATATTAGTACTGTTCCGAGTGGTTTCAGCTGCAACCCATCCCTGTCTCAAATGCTGGTTGCCAGCTTGCATTTTAGCGTATGCTCTTTCACTGCCTCTGCTTAGTAAATGCTTAATTCTACAAGAGAGGAGTTTTGAAAGTAAAGGAGATGGTGAACATACTACTTCTCTAAATGAAAAGTGTGAAGCACTACCATGTTCGTAGTGGTAGTGCAATCCTCTAAGCCCCTGCCATATCTCTAAGGCTATAAATAGGATTCCACAGCGAGCTCTATCAGATGCTGCAAAAAGATGCAGCAGCATGGATTTGGATATCTGGCCCTTGTCCTTAGCCAAGAGGTCATCCTTCTATCTGTGCCCTCCTCAGTCTGTTTTTTTCTTATTTCCCAGTCAGGCTTCAGACCAGGATAAGTGGAGGGTGTTTGTCAATTTGTAGGTGAAATTGGAGGCAGTCTTTTCTGAGCTCCTTGGTTAGGTTTCTTCGTATTATAATATGTAAGTATTTGGTGGTGGTCATGGTAAAAACACCAAGATAGGTAAATAAAGAGAAATTCCTTTTTCCAGATTCACGGTGAATGCCTGCTTTGGGTTAGCCTGACTACTTGCAGGAGTGCTGCTGGCTCAAACTTAAAGTTAATGAGAGTAAAAACGATTTGAAGATTAGACGGGGCATTTGACAGTCCAGAACTTCCTCCTGCACATTATCATTTGGGATAACAATTTTTAAGATGATAATACTAGAAAGCTGAAGGTCACCGAGTTATCTCTTTTGGGTTCATGCAGTAATGAAAGGCTACACACAAGAAGGCTGTCAGAATTCAGTGCTTATGACTTAATTCCATTACCAAAACCTAGATTTCATTACTTCAGTATCCCTAGTTACTAAGCTACTGCATTTCAGTGTATTTTAAAAAATCTCTTCCTGGCTACCAAGTCTTATGTTGTTATGTCTGTTTGCTCTACACATGCGAAAAGCCTGTTTGTAGTAGGTCAGCTGTACTATTTATATATACTAACTCATCTGTCAAACAGAAACATGCTCTCGACACAGTGTAATCATGAAAAGATTTTAAGGCCTTGTTTTCCAGACCCTCATAGTTTCTCCTTGTGATTTGCTTGTGTAGTGGGAAACAAGGTTGACAGAGAAATCCGAACAGTAGTCTGCTATTTATTTCTGTGAGCCTCTGGCCAAAAATAAGACCTATTTTTGCTTCTTTGTTTGGGGCAGGGGTTCGCCAGGGCAGGATGGGGTGGAACCTCTGCCATGGAGCCTGGTCTTTTTGGAGGTGAAGGCAGGTTGTAATAGACTTGATGTTTCTAGTGGGCTGAGAGGGGGAGAGAGATGTGTTTGCCTCACTAAAACTGTATTACTTGTGATCTGCTTCCTTCTGTAGGTCTTGATAAGATTGAATTCTTGCAGAGCCATGAGAACCAAGAAATCTATCAGAAGGCTTTTGATCTGATTGAGCATTACTTTGGGACGGAGGATGAGGACAGCAGCATTGCTCCGCAAGTTGATCTCAGCCAGCAGCAGTACATCTTCCAGCAATGCGAGGCTCCCATGGAAGGCTTTCAGCTTTGAGGTGCCCCCATGCTGCGTGCTCCACTATCCAGTCAGTCCTACTTTTGAGCCTCAAGCCACCCATGGAGTGATTTTCCAAATGTTTTCCATAACCCTGTCTGTGCTCATTTGCTTGCCTTGTGCACATGCTGTTACACACATCTGGAAAACCTTTGGTGCTTTGTGGCAAGATGCCCCTTTGGCAAGGGCTGACCAGAATGGTTCACCTCTAGGCTCTGGACCTCTCCACTTTGATCTTTGTGGGGTTGGGACAGCTATATGTACATTTGGACACTACCCTTTCCTACTCAAGAAGAATAATCCCTTCTCCACTAGCCCCTACACTCCTGGCATCCAAGATAGGCTGCCTTTTCTCTTATATTTGCAGTTGTGTGCCTGTATTCCAGGGAGTTATTTAGACTTGCTATCCCTCTGTAGTTGAGTTATTTTTCCATGCTCTTCGTTGGGTGCTTCTTTGGATGGCTTTGTGAGATGCATTCAATCCTGACATTCAGCATATCTGATTACTTCGCTGTATGTGTCAGCCTGGCTTTAGGCATATAGAATGTGTCACAGATATTGGAATAACTTCTATATTCCCTGCAATTACAGGCACCAATGGACATGCTATCTAGTTATTAGTAACACTGAACACAACTGGAGCTCCCCCTTTACAAAATTTGAGTTTCCAAGCTGGACTGCAGACCATTTCAGAGATATGGATAGTTTCTCATTTCCCCTCCATCCATAAAGGATGTATGAGTAGGTCAGTCTTATCACTTCCCCAGAACAACTTTCCTAACTGAATGGAGAAAATCAAGCCCTCCCGCTCCCCATCCCTAATACTGTGCGATTCAAAATGGTCTCTTTATTAGTTGTACCTTCCCTGTTTTCATAGGGAAATTAATTATCTGGTCATCCTTAGCATTGTGACGCTGATAATTCACTTTTTACATTTTTTATACAGCTCAACTGGAACAGGTTTCTCTTCTGTAACATACCTTTTGATGAAATAGCTTAATGTGCTAAACTGTCACTGGAAGGAGGGCACTGTAGAGTAAGCTCTCATGACTGTTTTCATCCTCATGCAATAGAGCTTTCCCTCCAGTCCAGCCCCCAAAAAGAATCCTGCTGAGCAACCTTTTGTTTAACCAGTATAATGACACTACATTTAAAAAGAATATGAATATTCTTTCCAGCATTCTCCTATTCCTGCCCTTCCATTTTTACCTCACTACTCACATGATCCCAGATGACTTAGCTTGGAACAAGTGGTTTCCACAAGCTATATCTCTAAGGATTGCTAAATGCATGACAGTTGTCCTGTGCAGCTGTAGACTGCGCCTTTGCTAGCAGCATGTTCTTAGCTCTGCAGCCTCCTTGGATTACAGGCATCTGAAGGCAAAAGCCAATCACTTCTCACTCGAGTTAAGCTGACATCAGTATAATCTTCATGTAACATAAGAGATGCCACATCACTGAAGGTCATTATTCCATTTCTGTGAATTCAGTGGATTCTCCAGGCTATCTGCTCTTTCTGCATTGGAATACATTCTTTCAAGACATTTGGGATCTTTGGCACGCCTATTTACCCCAATATAAACATTTCAAAAGTTGCCATTGCTGCAATATCATGCATCTGTGGTAGATTCTATTGACAGAACTGTCTGTAAGATCTTCCTCGTGACTTCATTCACTGACAAGCCACTGCAAAAACAACCCACAGGATGCACATTCAAACAAAATCACATGATGTACCACTGCAAGAAGCTAGGTCACGGCCTAAACATCAGTTCTGTGTGGACATTACTTTAAATATAATCTTCATTTTGTGTTTGTACTTCAGGATGGAGACTCTGACCTGTGTGGCCATTGCAGCAGCCATTGACTGTCTCCCTAGCTAACTCTGTTGGCCTCTGCCCTCCATGTTACTTTCTCTAGTGCTGCTTTGTGCTGAAGGAACATTTAGTTTACTGCACTTGACCTGTAAATGGACTTCAGTTCTTTGAAATTTTAGGGTTTAAAATTTGGAAGTTAATTTAAAAACAACAACAGGAAAACCCTCAATGTTGCCTTTACATCACATACAACTAACTGTGTTTATCTTTATTGAAGAGTGATAGAAGCACTGATTTAGTAGCAAAATCTTGTTTTAGCTCTTGGATTTCTTGTGCTGGATTTTTTTACGTGTAAATTTCCAATAACGTCATTTCTATAAGATTTGTTTAAAATCATGTACCTTTTATTGGATGGTATAAAAATGCTACATATTTTGTAAACAAATCTAAGCAAAGTGTGTGTGTATATATTCTGTATATTCATATATGTATATTCTGTGTATATATACAAAAATGTGTATATATACATACATATATATATGTGTATATGTGTGTGTGTGTGTGTGTGTGTGTGTGTGTATACACACACACAGACGCGCGCACACACAGGCGTGTGTGTGTATATATGTATATATATATTAGTGTTTCCTTTCCCACGCTAGTGAAAAATGTGGTGCATTGGCATTCTCTCCCTCTAGGATATAATGACAGTTGCCTCTAAATGAGTGAATTAAAACAAACTCCATTTAAACTGAATGGTGTGCCTTTCTGTGTAAAGAGCCTGGCCAGTATTTGTTACTTTTGCCAGCAAATATGTTAAACCAGAGCAGATAAGTATAAGACTTTAAACTTTATATCTTTACTTGGGGTGTTTGATTTGGTTAATGCAGGTAATAGTGTTGTTGTTATACTTATGTAAGGCATTTGACTGGTACCACATCATATTTTGACTGAAAATCAGAACAAAACCAAATCTATATGGCACACATTAAATGGATTAAAATCTGGCGAACTGATAGGTCTCAATCTAATTGTGAGGGGGTATCATCAAGTGTGTGTTTCCAGTGAGTTCTTGTAAGGATCAATTATTCTTCCTGTGGTATTTGACATTTTTCTTAGTGACCTGGAAGAAAACAATGTCTGTTGAGTCAGGTTTTCAGCTGATACAATGGTTGAGGGAGTGACAGATATTGAAGAGAATAGATTGCTCACAGAGCTACCTGGATCACTTGGTAAATAGGGTGCAAGCAAAATATATATGTATCAATAGAACAAAATGCAAGGCTAGTTACTTAGGTAAAAGAATTCAGGCTATGCTTACAGAATCAGGTATCTCTAGTCCAGAAGGCAGTAGATCTGGAACTTGGGGCCCAAGGTCACTTGAACCAGAGCTTCTAGTGAGATTCCCTGGCCAAAAGGGCTAATGTGGCCTTAAGGTGTTTTAATTGGGGAAATCTTAAGTAGAAGTAGGGTGGTTACATAATCCCTGTGTTTATCACCAGTGTCCAGTTTTCATGTCATTAGTTCAACAAAGATGTTGAAAAATTGAGGGGGTTCAAATGAGAATGAGAGAATGATTAGAGAATTTGAAAAACATTTCTTGTAGTGAAAGACTTAAGGAGCTTACCAGTGCTGCTGTGCTATCAGCACCAACAATACTGGTGTACGAAGCTTACTTTCTAGCATTGGATTTGTCATACTCAGAATTTCAAGGGGTTCTTAGAACAGCAGTTTTAGGGCCATGTCTGACCTTTAGCTATCCTACTTCTTTCTTGCACTGAGACAGAAGGCAGGGTAGATTTTCACTGTATAAACTAACAAAATCAGAGATGCTTACAAAACCTGTTGCAGCAGCTTGCTTCATCAGATGTGAAAGAGTTGCAGAAAGCAGAGCTTCTAAATAGAAAGCAGTGATTCGACTACAAAGGGCAGGGAAGGAGGAAAAAGGAGGGGGCGCTGCTGGCAGAGGTAAAGTTGAAAAATGAGATCAAAACAAAGTAGCTAACGCATTGAGGGACAGGGGTTATAAAAACTAATCCAGGTAGTAAGATAAGAATCGGTAGTCTCAGTTTGAACCATACCAAGGTTTGTCCTCTTGGGACCAGCGCAGGGTACTGTCAGCACACTAGCAGTTGGTGTTGAGGGTCCTCCTTACCACCACTGCCAGTTTTGGTAGTAGGACAGAAAGACTTCTTATCATCCTCTCAAGTATATGAAAGGAGGGAAAGTGAGGACCACTCTAGTTGCCATGTATATAGGACTCACTCCATGGCTGTACTAGGCAGCAGTGCTCAAGTCATCAGTTTTTCATTAGTATATAGCTCAGGGGTGGGCAAAATGCAGCCCACCAGGCCATTCCATTTGGCCTGCCGAGCCCCTAAAAAATTTAGAAAATTAATATTTACCTGCCCCTGGCTGCCTGTCATGCGGGCCTCAATGGCTTACCAAAACTCAGTAAGCGGCCCTTTGCCTAAAATAATTGCCCACCCCGATATAGCTCTTGAAGCTACTTACTGCCTTTGGAACATATTGGTGATTTTGTTTTGTATTTTCTGGAATAAACATGACCCTTAAACCTGGTGCAGACCACCCAAAGACCTGTGTAGAGCTAAAATGCTGTTCTATGTACTTCCTGTGCTCCTCCCCTCTGTTAGTCAGGATTTCAAGGCCTAAATCCAGACTAAGGACAGGAGCCAACTGAAGTACCTGGTAGAGTGAAGGAGGGCAGACACTGATCAAGCAGATGATCTATCTAGGCTAGAAACTTGTTCTTCACTGTTTTTCATAATACTGTCTTCAGAAGCTATCATAATAGGAAAAAAGCCATCTTGTTTGAATACCATATATCTGATATCAAGGAAACATGGTTTCTTTCACCACCCATATGAGACGCAGAGTTTACTTTTCTTTCCTGGCATCTGTTAAAAACAAAACAAAAAAGATGATAATTTAGTGGTGGACAAGGATAGCCAAGTGACCTAGCTTTGAGACTCTGGGACCCATCTAGAAGCACCAAGAAAGCATGCATGTGATATCCATGATCTTTAAGCTGCTTCAGAAATGGTATGGAAAGACCTGTCCTCTGAACAGATGGAAAGAAAGGTTGAGCTGTTTGTATTAAGCTTCTGTCAAGCTCTGTGAGCCTCAGGGTAAAATATTTATAAGTTTTGGAACAGAATAGTGAGGTGTTGATTGGAAAACATTGTAACAGTGTATCATATTTACTCAATTCCAAGATGAGTTTTCCCTCCCTGCCATTTTAGTATGAGGGGAAGTCCCTCATCTTGGAATCAAGTATGAGGTGGAGGAGAGAGAGTGGAGTGGGCAGGCAGCAGTTGTGGCTCTGGCCCCAGCCTGTGGCCAGGTCTGGTGCCAGAGCTGTAACAGCTACCTGCCCTCCAATCCCACCTCCCCTGTAAGCTCGAGCCCCTTGCCCCCTATATTGCCTCTCTCTCCCATCTCTACCCCTGCCTCTGCCTGCCTTACCACCACCCTGCTCTTTCTCCCTTCCTGCTACCCCATCCTCTGCTACCTACCCCTGCCCTGGTGCTGGTAGGCTCTGTCCCTGCTCCAGCCTAGGGCACAAAGCATGTGTGTGCTTCAGCCCTAGCTTGGCCCAGGAACAAAGGTAAACAGCAAAAGAGGGAGATTGGAGGGGTGGGGCAAGGCTGAAGCGGGGGGCAAGGAATGGGGGTAGTTTACTTGATCTCCTCCACCACCTGCCCTTCCCCACCCCATAGTCTGCCTCCCCACCACCTGCCTCCCTTCCATTTATTTCCTCACTGCAGCAGTGGGGGGATGAATTTAAAGATGATTCTCCAATAATTAGATTTTCTACTTGGAAAATTATAACAAATGTATACATTTTTCATGTATAGAATCTAATTATTTGGGGGGTCATCTTAAATTTAGGATCATCTGGGATTTGGGTAAGTATAAAGTGAAAAGCTAGATTTGTTTGAAATATTTCACAAACTGGAAAATGGCACAGACCCTTGAACATCTGGACAGAGTCAGTTCTATAATCCAAATGAATTGGACCCATGCCAGTCTTGATCATACACTCCAGAATACAACGTAACAGAGATGCTAATTCTATTGAGAAGAGTTATTTGACTGTAAGGGCAACAGCTCCAGTCCTTCCATCTATCCTCTGAAGCAAAGAGTGAACCCTAAGATCTTCCTTTTATGGGGCTTTGCCTTTTTAATGAAAGGATGGAAGGGATTGGGATCCTAGAGAAAATGTATGGGTCAATGCCAGTTTTTTAGGTCAGTGTGAACCTTCCACTTCAATGCAAATACTCCTCCATTCCAGCTTTTTTAACTACAGAGATAGCACCAGGCTGCTCTGGAGACTTATTTTGGAAGAAGTTCCCAGCAACAAAAAGACCTAAACAAATGCTTGAAGTGCCTCCTCACAACCTCCTCTGTTCTCCACCTTCTCTTCCTCCCAGAGAACAGATTTGATATTATAAGCCAGAGCTGTTAACTATTGTCAGCAGTCTTTCTGTTCCTGTCTTTTGTGTCTCCTTTCTTCTTCCTCTCTACTTCTACTGATGTAGAATTACTTTAGATCTCTCTGTACTGGATATTCTTCCTTCTCACTAGTTTTTAGGAGAACAAATTGAATCCACTTCTCCTTAAAAGATAGCAATGAACTGATTTAAATCCCATTTGATGGAGGGGATTGTATTTCCTTTTCATTATCCTCTGCAAAAAGAAAAGTAGAGGTGCATCCTGGACTTGAGGAATTTGAACAGATTCATAAAGATGTTCACATTTGATTTGTTTGCTGTGAGAGTTTGAGATTCCCTGGCCCGCATGCAACTCAGAGGCTTGATTTCATTTTGTCTTCATATCAGATAAATGAGATTTGTCTGAGCTAGTTCTTATCAATCTAGAATTGTCCTGTCCAGCCCTTTGGAGTATTTATCACATACCTAGGGTGGTAGCTGCTCTCCAACAGCAGTAGGCCAATGCCTGGATGGTTGGCTGGCGAAAGCCAAGTCTTAGCAAGAACTGGCACAGGCATTGAAATACAAGCTGCTGCCACACTCCTTATATATCTAAATTAGTTGGAAGAAATGTACATCCAAACCCACTGCAAATAAATTACTGTCTGTTAGAGGGTAAAAGCTAGCCTCTGGATGAGAAGCAGTAACTATAATCAGTCAACAAGGGCTGGTCCTACCATAGTTAACAGCAGTTAAACAACTAGTCAAACTGGATGTAGCATCTTTGTAAAAGAACTCTAAGGATTTGAGGAGCTAGGGTCTTTGAATACATCACTGGACAGTCACCTTGCTGGGGTTACCCCAGTTGTC